TGTGTGTGTGTGTGTGTGTGTGTGTGTGTGTGTGTGTGTGTGTGTGTAAGGGAGTGAGAGCAAGAGAAGGGAGAGTGAGATAGATGCAGAAATCTTTTGTTTTCAGTCCTACAAAGCCTCAAAGGTAAGAACTGGCTTCAATGAATAGTCATTTTTGCAGAGATTGTTCTCACAGGCCATAGCTTTCTAAGACCCAGTAGTCACTGTGCATAAAAGAATATATGCCCTGGCAAAGGGAGTTTGCATGGGGGAGGGTTAATAATAGCTAGAGAACCCAGAAAGTGGCCGTTTTTAAAACCATATCTTCTAGCCTGGGACAGAAAACACATAATAGAGGGCTGCAGGGCCAAAGCTTTGGAGGGTTCTTACGCCAGCCATAAGAGAACTTGTTGGTAACAACGAGGAAGTCAGAACAAAGCAGGTCAAACCATGCCACATGGTCTTTGCCTGCCTTCCTCTCCACACCAGCTTCTGGTTTGAACATTTTCTTTCATAGCACTTCCAATGACTAAGAGGTGACTTCCCAAAGTCCAGACCTGCCCTTTATCCTTTTCTGCTCCCAACTATAGGGAGTCTCTGTTGGTCTTGAAGGTTACAATGCAATCTAGATTCCAATCAGACTTGGTCCAAGGCCAGGATTCCTTTTCTCCTCCAAAGTGATACCCATTGTTCTTTAACTTGTGCTGGCCCCTTATCAGCTACTCACAGAAATGGCCACTTCATTTAATAGCAAAAACACACACAACTCACCACTGCCATCTCACACCACCTCTTTCCGTGTGAGGTGAGCCTGTGCCTGGCCATGACTTCTGTACTAGCCACCCCATTCTGGACCTCCTGCCTCCCCTGTTTGTTTTGAGACAGGGTCTCATGGTGTAGGTTTGGATGTCCTAGAACTCACGATGTAGACCGGGCTACCTTAGACCTCAGAGAGGCACCTGCCTCTGCCTCACAAGTGCTGGGTTTAAAGGCATGTGCCACCACACTTGGCACTCCTTTCTTCACTCCTAGTAAGCATTTTAGGCAGGCCTCCTGGAGCATCTTGCTAAGGTGACCAGCTCAAACCAGAACTAATGTTCTGTTACAGAAAAAGGATAGGCACCCAATCTCTGCAACATCACCTTTGTTTTCAATCACAGACTTAATCTCCTTCACTTCGTTCTGTGTCCACTGACCCTTTCCTTGCTTGATTATGATGCCAGCTGCTCCTTGCTTCCCTCTTAGATATTGACCATCTGGGTAACACCCCCATAGAGTCTGTGCATGCCCAGAGGGATTTCCCTCCAACTGGGTTACTGCAGAGAGCGCCAGATAGTTTTAAACCCTTTGGTTGACTCTTCTTATTCCAGAAAAAAAAATCCCCAAGAGATGAGCTTTATGGAGGGGCTGGAGAGATAGGTGAGTTGGTGAAGAGCTCTCCAACATCAGTGCACAAAGCCAGGCACAGCAACATGTACCTGTAACCTTGGTGCTGAGAAGGCAGTCAGGAGGATGCCCAGAGCCTATTGGCCCATCACTCAGTCTAGCTGAGTTGGTGAACTCCAGGTTTAGGAAAGGTCCATCTTAGAAAATCAAAGTGGGGCATGATATCTTGCCCATGTGCACAAAAACAACTATATAAAGACACAAACATGCAATCCTCTCCACCCCTGAAGTGACTTATAAAGAGATGTCAGTTTCTGAGGTAACAAGCTTCATATAATTTGGCCAGTAAGATGGTCTCCACAGCACCTTGAACAATACGGCATTCTGAGGATAACTTTGTGTCTCTGCCAGGGAGTGTTGAGGGAGCAGGAGACACTATGTCACAGTTTTCTATTGACACGTGCAGAGGCGGGACATGTCTCCGCCCACCAGCACAGCGATGACTTATGCTGCCTTCCTCTACTGCTGTAAGCCTGGAGACAGGATAGAACTGCCTGCCTGTGGCACAGGCCCGGTCTATGCCACTACCCTGTATCCTTTCTGTATTCCTGTCTATGGGGAGCATGCTGTGGTGTTTTTGACTTTCTCCATTCTTCAACAGCCAGGGACTGAGGATTCCCATCAATTCCTTGCCGCTGCTCTTTTAACTGAATGGTGGGGGTGGGGTGGGGCAGGGAGGGGATGAACAGAGCTCTGTGTGTAATGCTGGTCCTTATCCAATTGCCTGATGGTTCCTACTGTAGTCTTTGGGGTCTGAGGTGATATCTCTTTCAAGAAACAGATATTTCAAGGCTGAAGATGAAGTAGAATCAAACTTATAATGATGCAGACAGTTGAAACAGTCTAATTCTCCTCTGACTACCCCCAACCTTACACTGTAGGATGGTACCATGCAGGGTTCTGGGATACTTTCTGTGGCCAATCTGCTCCCAGGTAGAGCTCATGGGCAGGTCTTGGCACTGCTCCCCCAGCGCAGCTCAGCAGCCACACACATGGAGTAACTCCCTTATTCAGGAGTGCCAGTGAGGAGGGGGTTTCCCCGGGGATCTGAAGCAAAGTCTGCGTTATTAGCAGTGAGTTGCCATGTAAACGGTGTGAGATTGATGGCTGTGCCTTGTATGTCTATTATACTCTTGCTTTCAGAAGCAGCATGTATTTCTTAGAGCAAGCCCATTTTACATGGTCAGGTATCACTGACTTTCCCATGCAATGCCAGAGGAATGGATATTAAGACTCCTCTCTGGCCAGGGCAGTCTATCTCACAGGTTACATGATAGGATCAATGCTGGGTGCGTGGTCTAAATCCATCACTATTGTATGCATCCAGGGCTGCTGGGTCTCTCGGGACCTTCTTCTGTTTCTCCCTTCCCATGGAGACTTGGCATGATCCTTGATTCTTTTCTTCTTTCCCTCATGAATCTTCCTTGCATTTGTCATACTTTTTACCTACTGACCACAAATAGAAGGGTTTTCATGAAGAAGTGAGCAGAAGGCCAATGGGCCAGCCTCCTGCTCTCCAACATTCCCAGGGATAGGCATTTGTACCCTGCAAATGAAGCACCTGGGGTCTGTGGGCACATCTCCCCAGTGTTTTCTTCTACAGCTGTGGATTTTCACTTATTGCTGGCATCAAATGAAAAGCTACTATGCCACCCTGTTTAAATCACACAAAGGCAGAGGCGTTGTTTTGGGAAAGATAAATTGCTGTTCTCTCAGAGATGAAGTCCAGGTCCAAAATTTAGAAGCAGGAGGATTGCATCTCTATATCCGAAGGACCTATCTTTAAATGAAAGATAGAAAAAGGAAACCAAGTCACAGATGGCCTTCTGAGCTGACGTTCTCAGGCTCTCACTGAGTCCATCAGGACAGGGACATGCTAGTGTTCTTTGTGGCCATTGTATGTCAGCTGCCAGCTGGTGTTTATCTCTGAGGCAGAATGGCCAAGAACTTGAAAACTGTAGGTCTTGTCTTATCCATTTGCAAAGACCCTGCAAAGTCATAGATGTGGGCTCAGAGTTGTTGCACTAAAAAATTCTGGGCTGTGTGTCTTCACGAAGGTGAGAGATTGAAGTCTGTCTCGCAGACAGGATGGCAACAATTTTCTTATCACTTCAGCGCTACATCAATTAAAAACCTTTGAGTTCTTAATAACGGAACACTCAGTGCTTGGCCACTAGCAGGAGATAAAACTGAGCCTTTCGGAGGGAGTCTTGACACTGCCCTGCATTTTAATCACCAGCTTTGGTTCGAACGCTGTGGCTCACACTTGTAACTGAGTCTGGAAGTTCTCAATGTCATGATGTCCTTTGAGGAAATGAGGACGACAGCGTCTTGAATGAAGCTCCAGGTTTACTCATCCTGAGCTTCTCCTAGTGAGGTGATTCTCATCAGCAACACACTGCTCTAGTTCAGGCCAGTTGGCTCCACTCTCTCTCTGTCAACTCCTTGTCACTTAAACCCACAGACAAAGGCATTAGAATAAGCTGGGGCCATCTGCCCTTCCGTTCTCTCCAAGTTGGCCTTTGCCTTTATCAGAAAATGAAGTTCAAATGAACAAATTCTATCATTTCCTTATTATTCAATGGGACAAGCTTGTCCTTATTCCCCAACAATATACCTCTTGGCAAAATATCTTTTCTTCCCCTCTATAACTGTCAGTTACTACTGTACATGATCAGTACATAGAAGGCCCTGAGTGGATTTCAAGAAACAGAGCTCATTTAAACCAGCCTTGTAGATAAATACTGAATATTCACCAGCCCTAGAATTTATGTGGCCAGCTGACATGGCATAAATCAAATGACAGTGGATTCTGGTGAGTGATAACATTGGTTAACAACATGTATGGGGACCTCTTCAAGGGAAATCAGTGACTTCGGCATGTGGTGATTATATAACATACCTATGAGGTTAATTGTCAAGTAATGACATCACTAGGCTAAAGTTTCTGGCAAGCAACACTGCCGAATGTAAATCTGCAGCCTGAAGAAAAACCTCAGCTGTATTTTAGCAGGGGTAAAGGTCATGCTATGCCAACAGAAAATCTTCCCGAATATTAAGACAACTGGGATAAGAAGCTCAATGCTGTTTGAATTGTGGACAGTTGTTTATGTCTGGAATACCAACACGTAAAATCTTGAGATGCTGGGCTAGAGAGACCGCTCAATGAATAAAGTGGACCTGAGTTCAGATCTCCACAGCACCCATGTAAAAATACCCGGCCTGGCAGAACACTCCTGTGATCCCAGCAATGGAAAGCAGAGACAGGAGGATCCCTGGAACTCACTTGATGTTGGTCTAGCCAAATCAGGGTCCAGGTTCATGAGAGCCTCTGTTTCAGAAAAGAGTGGCTGAGGATGACTCTTGATGTCAACTTCTGGCCTCAACTTGTGCTCGAGTGCATGTACACACACACACACACACACACTGAAATGTGGTAGGAAAAGAAAACTGTCCCAGCTAGCAGGAAGATCTTCAACAATATCAATAATAATAATAATAATTAGATTTTTACAACAAGTAAATGAATAAAACCCACAGAAGATATTCTGAAAGTCTATCACACTGCCACTTTGGAGTTGCAGACACATGTTTTGAATTTTCTATAGCTTTATTTGTAGGGAGACTTGGAAGCAGGAGCATTTTATTGAAATCTAATAATGCTGGACTGCAAAAAGCCCATCTCAAAAGGGAATAGTTAGCTGGAAGGAAGGGCTTCATCCGGTCAGCTCTGGGTAGCCAGCTCTGGAGTATGAGTAACGGACATCCTGGATGTAACCGGAGAATTCAGTGTGACTCAACAACTTGGCCAGGTCACTGGGTGTGAATGGCATAGCTGTCCAAGCAACGACTCAGGGAGTTCTGAGTGAGCCCCTTCCCTGGAGCTCTTCAACGGCCCCTACACAAGTCCAGATCTGGGCTCTTACTGTGGACTAGGAAGATGAGACACTGCAGATGTATCCTGGACAAAGGCTTTCTCCCTGAATCATGGAAAGTGCATGTGAACCAACCGCTATAGTTACAATGCTTGGTCCAGCACATCTGGCTGGCCAGGACCCCAGCCAGGGAGCAACCTCTGTCCCCAGGAAGGGTAAAGGCTTAGGTGCAGTGGTGGGGAGGACAGGACGCTGAGGGGGTCACATCCTGAGCAAAGCATGTAGGGAAGTACATCCCGCTGGCAGTGTATGCTCTTGAGTCAGCATCTTTCACCCAGCAGGACATCGGCAAATATTTAACAAATGAGAGAATGAGTGACAGATGAGGGTCTCTGGCGCTGTCCAAGTCACGGCTCTGTATGAACAGAATTACCTGCATTTCCTGCCTTGGCCCGGCCACCCCTGTGTGCCTTCTACCCCTTCCTGGATGCTAGAAACACTACCTCTTCTACCCCTTCCTGGATGCTGGAAACACTACCT